GCCTCATCTGATTTGGGTGTGCTTTGTTCAATTTGTATCCCATCCCAGATCACACATGTTAAATTCATAAAGAAAAAAACTGCAAATCCCAGCCCAAAGTGCACCCCTATACTTGCTCCAAAATTCCGCCTGTAAATGTTTCGCATTTTCAGCGCAATGATTTTAGACCCTGTATGTTTTGCACAACCTGCAGTGAACCATTGACATTGCAGTCCCATCTCAATTTGTGTGTTGCCGACAGCGAGTCGTCGTTGATGACTTGAAATTGCAGAACATATCCTTAGTTTTCCCTGTTGCGGTTTTGTTTGAACCACTTAGGACGAAATAAAAAGTTTGGAATTTACAACGCTTTGCTACAGACTTATACCCAAACTCGACAATTCCTGAAGTGAAATCATGTTTGGACGCCTTTTTTGCATCTTTCAGCAAACCTGAAACTGGCACAGCGATGTGTTTGTGTAGTGGGCCAAAGCACCATTTCCGCGAAAGCTTGCTTTGCATTTTCGTCGAATCACATTTTGACACCATTTTGAATTTTTGGAAAGGTTTCATGCCACGCTACATCAATATTGGCCATTACCAGAAAATCGTTTGTTCGACCTTCCTTTGCAGACTTAACTACACCACAAAATCTGCTACTTCATGATGCCTGGAACTTGGTGTCAGTTTGAGTTGACAGTCAGCGTCCCTTGACAGAACAATAATATATTGGTTCCGATAGCCTCTAGGTCTCTCGAATCACACCTAGGTGTTTGGCTACCTGTCAACTAGTGACCCTTAGCTCCCGCAGCGGGGTGATATATAATAAGTTTGATCCCCCTGGCATTGTCTTTTGTGCAGCCCGTAGCATCCAAGCAACGAAAGTTGGATACTAACTTCCACTACAGAACAAACCTTGTCCTGGATTCTGCAGAAAGAGCAGAGTTCAAGTGATGGCAGCAGCGAGTCGAGGAATGTACATTTTACTTCCTCTTCCTTTTGAAAAATGATGTGACACAGGTCTCTTAAACCTGTTTGATTACCCCCCAGAGCTGTTGCTGCATCGCAAACGCAGACACATGCAGGAAGCATCGTATTTCCCATGGCACTTTACTTGTTTCAGTACCAAGGCCAGGCCAAAGTTCAATGGTCTCGTGGCCTTCAAAGTTGAATGGTCTGCCCATTTCAACGTAGTGACATCGTAGTGGCAACGTAGTGACCACAGGCCACAGACACTTCACCTGAACCTGAGAAGCTTCAGCCGTGACAGCCACCGCTCCAAAGCCTGTGGCTGTGGCATTTGGGACCTGCGCTACATGCGACTGTTGTCGGCGCAGCTTTTGTGGCCTTTGGGCGGCATTGCTGACGCAGGAATTTGGCTCACCTAGCCTTGGGAGGCGAGATTCTGGATTCGCGGAATGGGCACGGCCGCAATATGCCGCAATGCATGAGCTGCATAGCTTGGGGTAGTGACCGGGTATTGCAGCTCAAGCATTGCTCCAAGCTGGCTACATCTTTGGACGTAACAAGACGTAACAATCGGATGCTGTGAGAATCTCCGGAAATTTCGCTGCTTCGTCAGGTTACAGGCACAGGCACACGGCCAGGGTCATGAGGCCCCTGACCTTGAAGGCCTGAGGCGCCTGAGGCAGAGGCCATGTCACAGCCGCATTTTGCGTGTGTCTGGGGTCATTTCCTATTCCCATGCAGACTCTTGACGTTCGCTTGAAGTGGTCGCTCCTGGGATTTTTCTTAGATCAGGCTAGAGTTCCCTTAGGTTGTTGGCATTCATGATGCATTCATCATGTTTTTTGCTTTGCAGACGAAGGTGGGGAGCCAGTTGAGACTTTGATCAACCCAGCAGCTTGACTTTCTCTCAAAATGTCGCGGTTTGTTCCAGCACATAGCGCCATGTAGCCGCTTACTTCGGCTGACGATCCTAATTATGATTGCTTATAGTACTTGTAGTCCACGCAATTTACGCAATTTAGACCAGAGGGGTGTGTATTAATAAGCTGGAGTCACGTTTCCCAGTGCAAAGCCAGAAAGTTGGACACGTGATTCTGCGAAAGAAATTGTTTGTCACAGGTAAACCAACACCTACATATTGGTAGCAAATAGGCCCAGGCTATCCCAGGTCAAGTTGTTAATCTACAGTGCAGCGCATGGTTCTCTCACTGCTGAGGATGAACCTTTGACAGTTTGAAGGTCAACCATGGGCAACAGACCAGTGTCCACCTATGAGAAACTCTCGCCAATTCAGTGGATCCTGCCTTCACATGCCCATCTCATGCCCATCTCTGATTTGGTTCCCGAGATTCTCCTCGTATCACTAGCTGTGTCCGGTGTCCCTTTGTTTCGCCTCAGATTTGCAAGCATGTCCGCATGCATGTCCGCGTGCATGTGCAATCTAATGATGCTAACGTTCTAATGCTTGTTCTTCTGGTGGCATAAATTCATGGGCACCAGAATTGTGCTGACAGAAGTTCACATAAAATCACCGAGCAAATACAGCATACAACAGATCCAACAGATCTTGCCATCTTGTACAGTGAGGATAGTGAGGGTGGAGTGCATATTTTATAAATAGCCCCACAAAATGTATAAATAGTCCGAAGGCCTATTTTTATCCTCACAGTTAAAGAGGCCGATCCATCTCCCAATCCATTGCTTGAAAGTCTGCCCTCAGGGGATTCTTCCGTCGAGCCCATCTCAACAGAACAAGTGGAACAGGAAAAAGGCGACGCAAATAAAACAAACAAAACCAACCCAAAGATTTCTCCTTTCATGTCTTTTTTTGGTCACTTGGAGCCCATGGTTGGAGCTGCAGGTCCGGCCATCACAGGCCACACCCGTCTCGAGATGCCGCAGAGGCCACCGCCGGCCACCGCCGGCCACCGCCTCTGAAAGGATGAAACTGCGCGTTTTGTCTCACGATTGTCTCATGAAACTCTGGAAACATTTTAAATTCATGGATATTAATGGTGTCTTGACGGCTGATTGGCTGTAACTGCGCTACAGGTCAACAGCTTTGCCAATTTTAGCAGAATTTTCTGCTTTGGTCCGCTAGCTCTACAACCGCTGCGGCTTTGGTGCACAGAGTTATTCTTGTGAAACGTAGTGGCCCAGAGGTCAAATTAGAGCCAGGCGCCCTGAGGACTCCAGATATGATGAAAATCAAAACTAAACTTGCTTTCCCAGGCTGACACAAAAGTCAGGTTCAGTCAGGTTCCCCAGGTTTCCCATTGTCCTTCGGTGTTCCACCTGTTCCGAGAACGCGTCATGTGCACTGATTCACTGACTGTTCTTTGCTTCTGGTTCCAGAAGGTGCCACTCAGACGTTCTTGAGTCAATGGCCAACTCACAGTGGTGATTTTTGTCAAATTTGCCCATGAAAGCTGCAATACTTTGCAACGCACCCTGACATGGTGCAACTTCCGAACTGTCGTTGCAAGTGACCAGCTTCAGTCTGTAGAATTTGTCAGCCTGGTGCAACCGAAAGTCTGGCCGTCACTGATGCTGTCCCTTTGTTTCCGGCAGCTGCAGACATAAAGGACATAGTTTCAACCTGTTCAACAAGTTATCAGCAGCCAAAGACACCTTGCCACTGGACCGAAACGGTCAGTCACTGCATGGTCTTTCAGGACCCGGCAATGCAAGAGTTTGTGGAATTTGACCCAGTCCCCAACAGTGAGTGAAAATGGCGTGTCCGAGTTTGATATGCAGCCGTCCTCCCTTGATTTGCCAGCGAGGGAGGAAAACATATTGGGAAGGAACACAGCTTTCTTTGAAAATCAGGAGCGGAGAACAGAAAATTTTGCCAGGTCTCTCTGTTGTCCGCTTGTTTGTCGAAATGTCCTGCTGCCACAGGTGTTTCGCATGGCTCGCTCAACCTATACTGAGTCGGCTTTGCTGCGAAGCTGGTAGATTCTGAACTGAAAGCAATTAAAACAGATCACTGCTAAGAGCAAAAGATTCCCCTAGCAGATTGTGTCAGATTCGTTCCAGACACAATCTAGGTCTGCAGCAAAAGATGGCAGCACCAGCTACTTTACATTGCTTTGGCATTGTTGGAGCCTATGCATCGTCAAAGTCCAGAAACGATTAGACCCTCCCAGTGATCCCGTAACCTACAAAGTTGAATTGCACCGATCCATTCGTTTTGATGTGTGAATCTGCAGCTATCCCTTGCTCCCGTTTTGGGATGCACTCCCGATTGGATATGAGCTGTGACAGCTGTGATGAAGCTTGGAGCCAGTCCCAATTCGGCATTTCGAGACAACCTGTGTTAAAGGTGGCATTCCTCAGCCGGGCCACGTGAGATAACTGCCACAAGTCACAGTGGATACCACGATGCCACAGTGGGTACAGTGTACCACGCGCTGATTCCCAGATTTTTCATGCGGTGTATGGCACTGGTTCGATGTTCGAAGCTCAGTTGATGGACCTTGAGGAACTGAAACCATCTGAAACCCATGAGACAACGAGGGACGGTCGATGATTTTCTGGGTAAAGCCTCACACTGGGGGCATTGGTTGTGGGACGATGGTACCATGTTTTTTCATGTTTTTTCTCCAATTTTTCAGGGTGACCGCCGACCCTAAGGTGGCTCCACGGCGCTGAATCCTCTGAAGCTGAAGGGCGCTTTGCCACTTCTGGCAACAAATCTGAATCCACTTCAGCAGAAAAAAGGAGCGGAAGTCCCTGGAGAATCGTAAGCCTAGAGTTATCTAAATTTATTCGATGGCAGATCGGATGATGTAGGATGATTTTCGTTTGCCGCAGTTGATGGATACCCTCAGGAACACCTCAGCGGAATTTTGTGCATTGCCATGGTGGCTCCAAGCAGAGATCTGCAGCTTCATGGCAAACACACATTTTCCTCAAGGAGGTTGGGATTTAGTGAAATCGTTTCTGCTAAATTGTTTCACACTTTTCTCTTCTTTGTATCTTGTGGGGGTTTCCCAATTCCCTCAAGATGTGACCCGAAAAGTAAGTCACTTAGCCGCCTTTCAGAGCGTTTCAGAGCATAAAAAGCCCTCAACATGATCCGACCGGGGAAGAAACCCAAGAGACCCAAAAGTGGTGACCTCAGGCCACCCTGAAATCAATGGATCCAAGATGATCCAGGATGATCCATATCCGGAAGATGTCGGAAGATTAGTTGATGGATTTGTTGATGGATTTGTCGATGGTAAGTGGTACACCATGGTACAATATGGTACACCTGGGAGAACATTAAGATCATATTAAGATCATTAAGATGTCAAATGTCAGGTGGTTTCAACGCTGTTCCCCACAGATATGTTGAGGCCAAGGGAAACCGACAGCACCGAAGGAAGCTGCTGAAGGTGCGTTGCTGGAAGACCACCACAGACGGTCCACGGTGTCGTTTTTTTATTGAAGAATAGATGGGAAATTCAGTGCTTAGTTTTAGTCAGCCAACTCAGTCACTAGTTAATGATTATATTATTATATAATATATGTTTTGTATTATTCATTTCATCATATTCGATAATAATCAAAATGAATTATCCCTGCTTCATGGTGAAATAACATGAAATAACGTATTCTTCATATTTCTTCATAACATTGCCATGTCATCATGTTCAAGGTGCAGAGGCCGCATCGCCGGGTGACCTGGACACATCCGTTGCAGTGTCTTTGCTCGCAGATGTCGCAGTGACCCTGCACAGGATCAGCATGTTCCTGAGGATACCTGAGGTTAGCGATTGATATCCATTTTTTTCAGATTTCCATCATTTTTTTCCATCTATATTCATACTGTAATTATATCATTATTCATTCAAGACACTGGTGGCTCTAGATGACTCCAGTCCTACTTTGGCTCTGGACATCTCTGGACTCGGGCCATCCATGGCTCCCAGGTCCAAGAAGCGAAAGCTGGATGAAGCAGAGCTGAAGGAGAGAGAGGCTTCAAGCGACCGTGTCGAACCATGTCGAACCATGCCTAGTCAGCTGGGCCACCTGTCAATCCAGATTTTACTTGTGGAATTTATAGAATTTTGGTATCAAGGATCTAGGGTAGTTGTGTGATGTACGAATTGTGTGGGGTATCCGACGTATCCATGCTCCGCAAATCTTGCGATGGCATCATGGTGCCAATGTCTTGGCGCAGAAGCGCACGGTCTTCATTGGCAACGTGCCGCTGACATGGACGGAGTGCAGACCTTGGTCCAATGTGGTACTCCTATTTGCCATGATGGAATGACCATGACTGGGGTGGTACTCCTTTGTAGTGTCAGATAGTGTAAGATAAATGATGTGTATAAACCTGTTGCAGGAACCTAGTCCAGGTTTGTGTCTTTTTGGACAAAAGGTTTGCCGGTTGCCCCCATCGACAAGTCTTTCGTTTCTCAGGAAGCAGCTGCGAAGTGCCATGAGGAAAGCCCTGGGTGTCTCAGCTGCGTGTGCTCCACTGCAGCTCCCAGAAATTGCCAGAAGTCGTGTCCCAGGATTGGCCCATGGGAGAATTAGATTTAGCAGGACACAAGAAGACACCTATACTGCATTATATTGGGGGAATCAAAATCACGGTTTCCTGTAGGTTTCTCCCTCAATGCCCTAAAGCATTCCGTTTACTGTGGCTCTAGTGCTCACTGACATTCAACCTTGCACACTAAAAACCAAGGCACCACTTATGATGGTATCTTAAAGTGGGGACACTCGGGCACTTCCAGCAGGTAGATGATGTCATCATCATCATCGGTTGGCAGGAATCATCCACCGTAAGATCCCGAAACTGTTCCGGATCTGAGGCCCATATGGTTTCGATCCATTCCAGTGGAAACCAAATGGAGCAGCTCCAACAAGATGCGGAAGGCTGCTAGATGTGGCCTGAACTCAGTGGGATTAGCAGCTGGTCACGGTGAGACGATCCGGGCATAGTAAGAAACACTAAGAAAAACAGACCATTGCCAACCTTCCAACCTCTTTCTGCTCAAAGAGTACAGGACCAACGAACTGCGATAAGACGCCATGGTGGGTGTCCCGGCCAGGCGGGGTTGATTTTGAAAGCCTTCGCTGATGGCGCGGACAGCAAAAACGCCTATGTCGTGGTGAATTCGCCGGAGGATGTGCCTGCGCCACGTTGCCAAACAAATGGCCACCAGCTGTTCAGCTGTTCAGCTGTTCCTTCAACTGTTTCAACCCACAAAACCGAAGTGAATTGAAGTAGCACCGTTGGGCAGTCAGAAGTGATGTCAATGTACTTTTTTCTTGGCCTTTGCTGTGCCAGGTCCCTGTGATAGTCAAGGCAATCACCAACTTGGAGGCAACGCTGTGCGTGTCACCGTTGAAGTTTCTGGATTTTGAAGGGTGAAGATTTAGCTGCAGTTAGCTGCGGAAGTCCCAAAAATGTGTGGTAAACATGGTAGAGATGATACCCATGATGGCATGATATAGCAAGATCATGAATGATATAGCATGATATTATAGTCTATATAGTGACTATAGAGTGTTTAACCGGCATCATGATCCAGTCCCCTTGAAAAAAGGTCATCTCTGAGCGGCAGGTTGATGCTGAGCACATCCTGCGAGCCGATGGGGTTGGGTGCCAGGTTTTATCATATTATATGAGTAGTAACAGATGGTTTCTTATGAAATACATTGAAAATACTATAATCTAGAAGCTTATTGGGAAGCTACACCGTGAACTTCTGTCTTGCACTTCAACGATCTCCCAGTTTGCCAAGTCTTGCTGAGCTCAAAAGTCATAACATCCATAACATCATCACGGCCCAGGTGGGTGAATCTGCTGTCCTGAAAAAGTTCGACAGGACTGTAGGCTCTTGACTTGACCGTCCAGTCGCTTCAGGGCAACGCGGCAACTCATTCGCGCTTAAATTCGGAGCATGAAATGGTGGCTGATTAGAATAACAATTCTAGACATGTAGTCCGTTCCAACCTTGGGGAAAAATATGACATGCGCATCGAATTCAATGAAAGATATGCCACAAAAAACAGCAACAAGGCAACATTGAGTTTGCATTTTGTTTTCAAAGTACCTCAGGCAATCCAAGCTGATGGCACAGCATCTCATGATAACCTGTCAACTGCATCACATGAAGTTGTGCACTTGGAGCAGTTTGCTGAAGAGTGTTTGGATCCAAACCCCTTGTTGAATATTTCCACATTTGCTCCTGCCATCCGGTCATGTCATCTTTCACCAGTCTCAACACACCAGAACGGACCCCAGGATTTTTTGGCCTTCAGGGAACATGATTGTTGACGCAACCGGCATGACACTTGTTCCGAAAATTTTCGGAATATCTCCCAGAAAGTCCCACTCAAGGTATATTGAAGTATTGACATGATTTGGCATGTGTCAACCCTTGGCTGATTTGGCTGGTTGTATTCAAAAAAAGGGCACTGAACTGGTAGGGTTTCACGCTGGGCTAGCCCAAGATGTGACATTTGAGGTCTGCCCCTTTGAAGCCTTCGCAAAATTGCCCATACATTCAAATGGTTTCATATGCTACGTACAACTGCTAATGTAGTACTAAGCATCAGCGAAGGAAGTTTAGAAGTCAAACTTCCGACAATATGGACAGATGATGACAGATGAAAAAGCCGAGGTGGGAAGAGTCAGAGAAGAGAAGAGAAGAGTAGAAGAGAGAAGATCAGAGAAGAGAAAAAGTCAGAAGAAAGAAGATGCAGATGCGGGAAAAGGAAGGAAAGTCGGGAAACACTGTGTTTTTCTAATGATTTGTGGCTCTGGAGGGTCGAAAAGTAGGCTCGCTAAAGCGGCGGGTGCGGAGCCGTCTGGTCAGATGAGAGATCTAAAATTGCACGCCGTTGTGGCACGAAGCACATTTCGAAGTCAAAATGTGTAAGACACCAGGTTCGGAGCACTTTTGGAAGTTGAGATGTTGAAAAAGCGCAGGCCGTTGTGGCGCGAAGCATATTTCCAAGTCAAAGCGGGCAAAACACACCAGCTTCGGTGCACTTTTGGAAGTCGAGATGTTGAAAAAGTGCACGCCGTTGTGGCGCGAAGCATATTTCCAAGTCAACATCATGTACAAAGCAGACCAGGTTCGGAGCACTTGGAAGTTGAAATGTGCAAAAAGTGCACGCCGTTGTGGCGCGATGCACATTTCGAAGTCAAAAGTGCAAAAAACAGACGGGTACAGAGCATTCATGTTTGGACGTTAAGATGTCGTCTTGCGTGGCAGGTGCACGGGATTGTGCACATTCCCAAAAGTGCTCAAAAACGTGAAGGCTTTGTAGCAGTTCAAAAACGTGGGCAGGCGTGGGACATTTCAAGAGGATCTGCAAAGATGCATCTCGCGAGGCAGGCGCAGTACAAGAGACATGCCCATCAGAGACGTTAGGAGGTCCGGGCGCTGCTTTGGTGGCAGGGGTCGCACTTGGGAGCATCAGAGCGTCAGGTTTGCCAAGATGATTTTGTGTGACAGGTGCAGCACTTCGTATGACCTGGCATCGCTTTTTCGTGGCAGGCGCAGCACTTGAGACAGATGGAGTGGAAAAATCGCAAAACGCATTGGCACGAGGCCGTCAGCTCTGCCCTCAACTTTTTATTTTTGAAGGAAGTCTCGCAGAATTGCTTCGTTTCTGATGTTGCCAACTTAACAAATAAAGGAAGATTCGCAGGATTACTACGTTTTTGATGTTGCCAACTTCGAAAATTGAGGAAGTCTCGCAGAATTGCTTCATTTTTCATGCTGTCACCTTCGGCTTCCAGTTTGTCCCAAACTTGAATCAAGCTTCTGGGATTGGTTTTGTTGGAAATTACCTTCCATGGAAAACCTATGGAGCGACACATTCCTGTGTGTATGGTCCCTAATCACCCCAGCGCGGCCCCGCCCTATATGTCATGTTCTGTCGCAATTTGAGGTATGAACGACCTAATGACCAGTATAATTACTGCAGTTTCTGGGCAACGCAAATCGGGCGCGTCACGCATTGCCCCTTGCGATGAGCGTGGTCTGTTGGCCGCACAGGAAAAGAAGCGTGTTCCTTGGGTCTTTGCCCCGGCGTCTTGCTGGCTGACCTTGGAAGAGAGCAATTGCCGTTTTTGTTGCCACCGCCACTGATGCTGGGAGCACTAGAACCACGTCCCATCCGGCTTGGGTCAGACAATTATGTCAGACCGCTTAAGCTGCAAGGGCCTTTTGACGTCACAGCATGGTGCGAAAAAAAGGCATCCGCAGCGCGCCAGGTGTAACCGAGTCAGACATCCGTTGGGTCCTGTGGGACGCAGGTGAAGTAGATGCAGCGCCTTGGTATCTTAGGGCGGCCAGAAAAAATTAAACCGAATAAGACAACTTGAATTGGCTGATTGTTTTGTGGGGCAACCCTTACTTGAACAACTAGACGACGGATGGCCCGAGAGCGTAGAGGAGCAGGGTCTTCTCTTGTTAGTATGGAGACACCATATTACAAACAATATATTAAAGATGTGTTATAGGCAGTCGAGAAGAGGTATCAAGACAAAATAGCAGAAGTGCAAGACAATAGTTTGCATCGCAAACACTTTTACACACAGAAGCTTTACACACAGACGCTTTTACACACGAAAGCTTTTACACACAGAAGCTTTTACACACAGAAGCTTTTACACACAAAAGCTTTCACACACAGAAGCTTTTACAGACAGACACTTTCACACACAGACCCTTTTACACACAGACGCTTGTACACACAAAAGCTTTTACACACAGAAGCTTTTACACACAGACGCTTTTACACACAAAGCTTTTACCCACAGAAGCTTTTACATATAGAAGCTTTTACACATAGACGCTTTTACACACAGGCACTTTTACACACAAACACTTTTACACGCAAACACTTTTACACACAGACGCTTTTACACGCAGACGCTTTTACACACACACGCTTTTACACACAAACACTTTTACACACAAACAGCCTTTACAAGCAGATCTTTCACTCACACCCTTTTACATCCAACACCAGTTACATCGCAATTTTACGTCGGTTTTTGCACATCGAGCCTCGCTTCGTGCGAAAGGGTTGCTCCGGCACAAGTAAAATCGCAATTTTACCTCAGTTTTTGCGCATCGACCCTCATTTCGTGTGAAAGGGTTGGTCCAGGACAAGAAAAATCGCAATTTTTCTTCAGTTTTTGACGATCGACCTTCATTTCGTGCGAAAGGGTTGCTCCAGGACAAGTAAAATCGCAATTTTACCTCAGTTTTTGACGATCGACCCTCATTTCGTGCGAAAGGGTTGCTCCAGGACAAGTCCGGCACAAGTAAAATCGCAATTTTATCGCAGTTTTTGCGCATCGACCCTCATTTCGTGCGAAAGGGTTGCTCCAGGACAAGTCCGGCACAAGTAAAATCGCAATTTTACCTCCGTTTTTGACGATCGACGATCGACCTTCATTTCGTGCGAAAGGGTTGCTCCAGGACAAGCCCGGCACAAGTAAAATCGCAATTTTACCTCAGTTTTTGACGATCGACCCTCATTTCGTGCAAAAGGGTTGCTCCGGGACAAGTAAAATCGCAATCTTACCGCAGTTTTTGCACATCGACCCTCATTTCGTGCGAAAGGGGACAAGTAAAATCGCAATTTTACCTCAGTTTTTGACGATCGACCCTCATTTCGTGTGAAAGGGTTGCTCCAGGACAAGTAAAATCGCAATTTTACCTCAGTTTTTGACGATCGATCCTCATTTCGTGCGAAAGGGTTCACGTTTCGTGACTCCCCGCCGGCACCACCCTCGGCCTAAAGAGAGAAAGATAAAGAAGGCGAGAGAGAGAAAAGGGAGAGAGAAAGGAGAGAGGAAAGAGGAGAGAGAGTGAGAGAGAGAGAGAGAGAGAGAAGATGTGAGTATGTGAAGATGTGAGTGCGAGTATGTGAAGATGTGAAGATGAGCAGATGTGAAGATGAGCAGATGTGAAGATGAGAAGATGTGAAGATGAGAAGATGTGAAGATAAGAAGATGTGAAGAGGAGCAGATGTGAAGATGAGCAGATGTGAAGATGAGAAGATGTGAAGAGGAGCAGATGTGAAGAGGAGCAGATGTGAAGATGAGCAGATGTGAAGATGTGAGTGCGTGAGAATAAGCAGATGTGAAGATGAGAAGATGTGAAGATGAGAAGATAAGAAGAGGACAAGATGTGAAGAGGAGCAGATGTGAAGATGAGCAGATGTGAAGATGAGCAGATGTGAAGATGAGAAGGTGTGAGAGAAGGTGTGAAGATGAGAAGGTGTGAAGATGAGAAGATGAGATACAGACCCCCACTATTGGAAGAACCCTGCGCTCAGACGCTCTCGGGAAAAATACATTGAAAAATGTCAATCACTTCTGTTTGCTAATTTTTCTGGAGGATGCACTCAAAATTCATCACCTGTACCAAACTTAGCAGTCATGGGCAACAAGGTTTGAAACAGTGTTTCCGAATGCTCTCCTGATTTGAAAGGCCCACGAAACGCTATCAACGAATGGTGCAGGGAACGGATCGTCCAACCAACGCCTGTTGAAGTTAAACCGTGCAGGTAGAGTCTGCGTTGGAAAACAAATCGTATAAGTTGTAGTGATTGTAGGTTGTAGCTATGTTTGTTTTTGGGGATGATGCCCAGTGAAATCATATATTCCGTTTTTTTCCTCAGAAACACCGCCTAGGTGCGCATCGTGCGGGACAAAAAAACACAGGATCCGTGGCGTGGGAGTGTTGCGTGATGCAGACCGCATCCAGGGATGCACATAAAATCACACATAACACAAAAATTGATGGCACATAATTTTCAAAAAGGTACACTGTCAAGAATCAAATGTTCATCAAACGGTCTCGGTCTGATGATTGTCCTATTCTTATGTGGTTTCGGGATGTTTTGGGTCCATTCCAAATATGAACCGAATATAGAATTTCAGATCATGTTTTGATAATTTGAAACATTCCGTTTTTGGGGATGTTTTGTTAACCAGTACACCCATTGGCCCATGTGGGTTTGATCTGCACTGCATCCACAGTGCCTGGCCAGGACTGCAAAGGGTTTGCCTTCGCACGCTTCAAAGAACGCAAAAGCGTCAAGGCAATGACACTGGATGTTGCCAGTGATCAAAAGGATTTGCAGATGGAGAAATGTCATTATGAAATATGAAGTGGATTTTGTTTTGTTTCCATTGTTCCTACTTACTATCAAATTCATTTGAGTTTCATATTGAACATTGGAATGCGGAAACTTACACGTGTTACACCTCAAGCGCTGGGTTCGGTCTGCAGGCAGCATTGAATCTGTGGGATCTAAGAATCCATGGGAAGTACATTCGGGTCACCAAGGCCGGAGATGGGAGATGAGCAGTATCGTGATCATGAGAATGTGACCGTTAATGACGATCATGATCATAGTAAGTCCTGTTTTTGTTGTTATTGTCATTGTTGTTGCATTATTACATAGTTGTTTCATGTTGTTGCCATTGGCATTGGTTTTGTTAGCATTATTGTCATCATTATTGTTATTGTTTGTTTTATTGAATTGTGTTGTGTTTAAAATTTTCACTGTTATTATTGTGTCATCACATTGTGATGATGACAGCAACAAGGTGGAAGATGAGGAAGGTGGCAATGATGCTGGAAGGTGACGCCCACATTGCTGTCCTGTTGATACCTGTGGGCGTCCTGTGGGAATCATTCGGATTTCTGAGTTGCTGTGTGTTTTTTGTTGAGGCCAAAGAAATTGAAACCTGAAGTTGAGAAGCGAATCATGCTGAAGCAACAGCAGCGGCAACGCGCCAAGGCCGTCTCAAAATTAATTGTATCAGGCTATCGCGAACGGGGTGGTAGCATCATCTCAATGTTGGGAGTCGTGCAACCCCCTACCTCTTCAGATCTATTCAGATCTCTTCAGTATTCAGGCAGTTTCAGGATGAACTCCACACTCTGACCATTCGTGCTTCTACTACTATTGTTGGGTTGAGTAGATTTCCATGTTTATCGTTTCCAATGCAAAAGGAGGGAGCAAGTGTCAACAAGCCAGGCGAAGAAGCAGCGTGAGTTTGTGGAGCAAGCGAAAGCTGCTGGTTTGAGGTCGACATGAAAGTGAAACGATCTTCGGATATCGCCAGACTTACTGGCGGATAATCAGGGAGGATGATATTATCATTCAGATGGCATTGTTGGACATGTTTGAGGAAAGGTGCACAGTTTGAAAACATGTCATGCGCTGCAGCATCTCAAAAAAGGCAAGACGTGGAAACAATCTGCAAGCCCAGACCTCCAGATTGTGCAGGACCAGCAAGAAAAAAGCACCAAAGGTCAAGCGAAAGGTGTTGGCCACAGCAGGGCGTTGCTCTCCGTCGCTCCTAAGTGCTGAAGGGTGCAAAGTTTGATTGCTCATGATGACGATGAGAATGACAATGAGGATGATCATTATTGCCATGAGGATGAAGATGAAAGGAGAACATGACTGCAGTTTTGATCACCTTCTTACTTGAATTTGATTGACCCTCTTCCATGCTGGTAGGAGAAGAAGAAAGGAAAGCGCTGATCAATGATCGCCACAAAAAAATGTGGGTGATTTCTCGCCACGCAACCAATTCAGATTGACCAGCCACATCTGATTTTCTCCCAAGTCTGGCAGCACTGAATGATTTCTTGGGTCGGTCCGCAGTCTGGGCTTTGGAATTTACAGCACCATGGCATGAGGATTTAGATGGATTTAGTATTTCAACGTATTTCATTTCCTTGGAGCAAAAAGTTTCACACACAGCCGACTGAAAAGCAAAGGACACAAAGAGACTTTTCCCACTGGAACTTCATCCAATGCTGCAGTACCTTGCACTGCCTACCTTTTTTTGGCAAACCTTCAGCAGACAAAGGCAAAAAAACTGAAGTGTCATGACAAGAAATTGCCACTACTACCTACATGCAAAAACAAACAACAACTGAATCTGGTGCTTCGATTAAAAATCAAGGATGTCATCACCCATGGAATCTCAGGCAGCAACGGTTTTTCTGGCTGCTGACAAACAAGCTCTCGTTGTTTGCTGCACCTGTGCAGGCTGGCGGAGATGAGAAAGCCGCTACCTCAACATACCTCAACGGTGTATGGCGTATGGTGCTGTTCACTGCACATGCCACATGCGGTCCTTCTGATTCCAAGGTAGATAAGTTGGAGGTGCCTTTGTCAAGTGTTTGTGTGGTAAAGGAAACAACATGGGCGGTCATGAGAACCTGCCTTTTCTTGTCCATGTTCCCGTCCTTTCGTATTTTTCTCATTGTTCATACTGTTCTCTGTGTGCAGCCGTTTATTTCTCGATTCGTACCAGCTTTGTGCCAGGCCAGCGACAAAGAGAGCGACGCTTCCTTTTACACCGACTTCGAATCAATTTCCTCCTGTTCGGAGGTGCAGCGGAGTTGTAGACAGGTGTCCCTGAAAGACCTTTTTGGGACTTCCAAGACCAGATCATTTGCAAAGGCATTTCAAGACTTGGTTGTTCGATTCTAAGGACTGGCCAATTTAGAAAAAAAACTATTTTGATTGCTGCAGCTTGGTAAACATTTGATTACCACCGGTGATGATGCTGGTGATAATCTCCTTCGTTGCTTCCGGTTTCACATTGACATCGTTTCACATCGTTTCACAATTTCAATCCCAATCCGAATGGTTTGCCAAGCCTCAGGCTTCGGAGATACCAGAGGCGGGAGCAATATGAGAACTTGTGAATAACTTGTGATAGTTTCCATATTTTCCATTCTATAATTATATTAATTATATTACAAGCTCAGAGCTATCGAGACATTGCTTATAGTTGGCAAAAATAATTTGGATTCATCCCACCCCGTAGCCTTGCGACATGGCTAGGTGATCTTGGAATCTTCTTCGGAGAGCTCATCTTCACGGCGACGCAGGATTTGGCGCACCAGATTAGAGGTTGCTTCGGAGTTCCCCCGGAAGTTTCCAACATGCCCAACCTCTGTTCACAGAGAATCACTATGAAATGAGCTTATGATAGGTTATGGATTCTCAGGGCACAGTGCGCCCATGTGCGCCCTCAGTTCGCTTCCTGCCTTATGGTCACTTTGTGATCTTTGTGTCACATTGTGCCACAACAGTGCCACAATTTTGCCACATTGTGCCACATTCACAGGACCGTTGTCCTTGCATGGCCAACCGCTGCCACAACGAACAACTTGGAGGAGTTCGGCCGCAGTTCGACTCTCGAATGCAGTGCATTCTAGAGTTCTGCTCAGGACACCAATCGTGGCATCTCCAAACTGAGCAGAACTCCAGTGCGGAGGCAGAGCTTGACATGTCATGGATATCATGGTATACTCATGTTACACTCATGTTACTCATGCTGATTTCAGATTCCGGGAGGACGATTATGGTGATTTGCCCCGAGCCATTGATGCACCATGGCCATATGCCATGAAAGATCGCACTGACATTTTTGCCAGGGCGCGCGTGCGTGGAACCGTTCCTTGGCTCTGGGAAATTCTGGGAATGGGGTCAAGAATCCAAGCCTTAAGTCACCAGTTGACAAGCTCGAACCCATCTCTTTACATCCCCTTTATTTCAACGTTTCTCCCCTTTGTAACAAAAGATCCCCAATGTCCTTGATCTTGCAAATATCATCAAATATCCCTGTGCCATGATGTAATATGATATCCAGATGATATCCATGATTCCTGATATCATCTGATATCCATGTTCTATCATGTTCTAATATGTTCTATCTTTTAGCTATGACATGATGTTATGACTATCTATGACTGCTTTATACTGCTTTAAATCATCTCTGACACTGTGAGTCACGTGAGTCGACGGTGAGTCGACTGTGAGGTTTGTTTGCCCACCTCCTTCGTCTTCACACCCGGCCGTCGCCCGGCGCCCCACGGCGCCGTCCGCGATGTCCGCGCCGTCGCAAAGCCGACAGAGGACCAGGAGGCGCTCTGAAGAACGGAAAGGTTGAAGCAAGGGCCTTCCAGGGTTTGTGTGTATATATATATATATAAATATATAATTATGTATATATAGGCCAGTTGCAAGCTAATTACTATCTTCATGCATCATCCCATCTGTTGGATTGAAACTGGTTGTGTATTCCATTTGTTGCCTTGACACATCGGCCTTTCTGGAACACCCCAAAAGGACCTAGAAATTCGGGCCATGAGTGATTGAAAGGCTTGGCCACAAACTTTGGTAATCCAAGTGGCATTTACTACCATAGTAAGCGCTGTTTACATACGACTTGAGACTCTCACAACGTGTCAGGCGCGTTTGGAGCTGGAGCGCGAGATAGTACCTTGATGCGACTGTGGTTGTTGCGGAAAATGCTTCCAGTTGAAGGTTCACTTTTTTTTTTTTGCGAAGCTGGAGATAAGTTTACCAAGGAATGAAGTTGACCAAAGGAAATATGCATTTAACCAAGGCGCGGAAAGCGGCCTTCGAAGAGGCTTTGGAGGTAAGGACGCGGGGCGGCATGAAACTTGCAGATCAACCAAGGATCAACCTGCCAACTTTATTTGAAGACTCAATTAGATCAGCAACAGTCACTCAGTTGTATCGATTGATAAATTGATTCATCAACCACATTAAACCACATTAAACCACATTGAACCACATTAAACCACATTAAACCACATTAAACCACATTAAACCACCCTTTCAGCCAATGTTCCAGCCGACCGGTTCAACCGTGTTCAACCAGTTCCACCGCGAGGCCGAAAGAGCCAGCTACGAAGCCGAGCTGGCACGGAAGACCCAGGAGGCCGAGGATCGACAGGCGCGGTGTCTGTTGATGTTGATGACAGTGACAGTGACATAGAGTGACGTAGAGTGACATAGAGTGACATAGAGTGACATTAGACATTCATGTCATGAAAGTGTTAAGAAAGAGTAGTGATGGTCATGAATCATGATGAAGTAGGTTCTAAAGCTGTCGACAGTGTCGATTCGGCTTGGAAAGAATGACTGAGAACCATGGAACACCACGTCTAAGCGGAAGATTTTGGTGTCACAATTGTCAAAAATGTTCATACATCGGACATCATCGGACAGTGTACTGCCTATCCCGTGTCCTGGCTCATTTCAAGTTGCCGCTCGATGCCCAGAATATGAAGCAATTCAGCCCCAACAGAGCTCAATTTCCCTGCGGCCCAGCCAACCATAGCCAACCACAACCACACACAGGTGAAACACGAGACTAGAACATGTTTGCAACAAACTCTTTCACCCCAGGTCCCATCACAATCACCAGCCATCTCCATCTCCAGTGCAGATCCAACCCATCGGGTGCCGCGCCAGCGCTGCCATGCTTTAAGCGTGGCCGCTGTTCTCTCGGGCTCCGCCTTTGCCGCCGTTCTGATGCTGAAAGACCCCAGCATGGAGCGGCCACGGACCATCGCAACGAGCCGGTCGATGGGAGGTAGCGAGCAGTCGAGAAGTGCATGGCTTCAAACTTGGTTCAAAAATGTTCAAAATATCCAACGACGGGCTGAATCGAAATGTCACCTTCACCCAAACTTAAACAATCATCAACCAAATCGAACATATTGTTCTGTCCACATTTTTCTACATTCTTTGGAGGCTCAATGGTGACTCTGGCACCTAGCACGCCGAGCAGGGGCCTGAATGACATGAACAGTGACGCCAATTGGTTTACCATGATCAGTGATATTTGCTGTTGCATGTGCCATCAAGCTCCACTAGGAGCTCCTGCACTGCACCAGGTTCGCCCTTCCAACGTGCAGCGCAGTCCATGATGCCGACACCAGTGACGGTGCGGGCCCTGTGATTCTCAGCTTTCCGTGGTGTGGATTGGCAGCGATATTCAGAGATGGACATGATGCAACACATTCATCACACCTTGGGTGTGTTGGATTTCTGCTTCAATACTTTGGGACCCAAACTTTGGGACATTTTGGGACCCAAGGTGTGTCTTTTGTGGCAACAACTTGTGCTTTTTCGGCCCGACAACTGAAGCATGCAGAATGCCATCCATCAACGTGCCATCAGCAGCAGTTGCGTCTGAGGTCATCTACACGCCCTTCAAAAAACCGGTGCGCCAAAATGTGGTATACACTCTGTGGATGGGATGATGGGATCCAAGGGGCTCAAGTTTGAATCTAAATGACCTAATTGTGGATACCAGATCCTTCAAGGATAGTGACTTTCTGATTTCTTGTTTGCTGAAAATAGATTGATTGGGTTCAATTTCTTCAACGACTCCATTTTCCATCATTTTCCACTGGCCCAATCAAGTTGAACACTACTGAATCCACGTTGCCCTGTTTGCCCAGATGACGGCGCCGAAGCTGGGTCTAGGTGGATGCATGCGCCCGAAGACCCAGTGCTGGCTGTTCCTGTTGCTGTTGGATGGTAATCCCCAGCAGATCCAGCAGACAATTCCCAGCGGACTGTTGCCGAGGTTCTGCGACACTCTCCAAAGTGAAATTGATGCTTGGACCGCTGAAATGTGGATGTACCCTCTGGTAAACTAACAGTTTGCTATGGAAAATCATCATGTTTAATGGCCATGTTCAATAGCTATGTTAAATTACCAGGGAGTCCAGTGGATGTGAATCCTTTTTGTCATGTTTATAAAACACCGACCCAGAAGAGGGATCTTGGAAAAAAACTCTTCGTCGAAAGGCATTTTCGGGGGAGCAGTCAGCCTCCTGCCATGAGAATGATGAAACTTCAGCCAGACTCTCACGGTGGACCCGACAGCTGAGGACGGGAGATCTTTTCAGCCAGGACGTTGAGTTTCACTGATTGATATTACAGAATATTACAGATATTAGTTGAGATCTGGCGGTAGACCTTGGCTTTTCGGGCTTTTCGCTGCTGGATGAAGTTTACCAACCAAACCGATTCATGCCGATTCTGAGTGCGTCAATGCCGCTGACAACCACATGGGAACCGCCGCGTTTGTCTTCGTCCGTGCCAACAAATTTGTGAGTTGATGTATCAAAGGTCGGCGTAACCCTGAAATGAATCCAATGGAAGTCATATGCTTTGCCAAGGCTGATGAATAGACATCCTATGACATCCTTCAGAAGATGCTGTATCGGCCTTTGGTCCCTTGCTGACTCAGACAAATGCTTACGAATTTATTCCAGTATAAACCGATGATATCGATCATATTTCAAAAAGTGGAAGGGAGCACCTTCAAATCTACTGAGATGCCACTAAAAGTCAACTGAAAAGACGTAATATTAGTTGTATAATGTTTAATGGATTCAGAATATTCAGA